TCTCACTTACTCTGTATTTCTGGGTACAAAAGCATGAACAGGAATGCCCATCGGAGAGTGGTGGATGTGGTCTGAGAACCAGCTACCAGCAAGTCTGAGGTCACCAGGCTAAGATTGCTTTTATTGAAACCATTCTCTTCAGCCTCCTTACCCTGCAGATAGCAAACAAATGTGTGACAGGAGCAAAGACACTTTCTTGAGTGAGAAGACTTTCTTTCAGAGAAGTACTGAGAAGCAGTAGATCATTTTTGCTGACCAGGAATTCATTGGCAGAGTAGAGCACAACGCAAGCTGTGGTCTGTGTGTGACTGATGTACTAAAATCATGCCGTTACCACTGTACTCCTCGATCCTGAGATGTGAAAATTGCACCTACTTTCATAGTGAATGCCTTGTGCTCTCAACTCAGCAGGCCACCGCAACTTTCTGTAATATCCGCACCCAGAGGAAGTGGAACACTACTACACAGGCTGTACATATCTGAAAACCCACATAGCAGAGAGGAGGCTGCACTGATATAGCAAATGCTATATCAGCTTCTATCAACAAGTTTAAAGAAGTAGAGGAATTTCCCCAGGACTCTGAGATTCTGTTGATCTCTTCCTACCTTTGTCATTTCCTTTAAAAATGCATCAGTGAAGTCTCGGGTATAAGCTGGGTTCCAGGTCCCCTTGTGCTTCTCTACGAGCTTTTCTGTGAAGTCGATGTATTCCTTTTGGCATCGAAAGATCTTCTGTGGCAGTCCAGGGATGCGCAACAAAATGGGTGCCACATTAAGAAGCTGGCAGGCCAGAACCATACAGAAAGAGAAAAGATATTATGTGATACAAAACAAAAAACCATGGAAACACAGTGCTCTCAAGTGGCAGAGGTCAGTGTCTTACAGAACTTAATACACTTCTGCATTACCTGAGGCATGAATCCAACTTCTTCATTCAGGGAGTTTTCAAACAAAGTTAACAGCTTCTTGAATGTCTTGTCTGCATAGTCAAAACGCTCTCCATAGGTGATGGTACAGATCAGATTGCTGACTGCATTATTTACAAGAAATCGTGGATCAAAAGGACGACCTACAAATGGAAATGAATATCAAGCAAAGAGGCTAAGCAACATCACGCTGTGGTACTGCAGCTTCAAGAACACACACATATCTCTTTGTTGTTTTCATGAGAAAATGCCCTCAAAATGCTGAAAGTAGGAATACATCATAGTAGGAAGAGAAGATGTTCTTATCTCCTACTATGGATTGCTGGACATTGTTAGAATAAGAAAGGTCCCAAAGAAAAGCCAAGTTACAGGGTTGTTCTTTCACATGTCAGATAGCACATCTTCCTGAGTCTAATGGTAGTTGATGTGTGAAAGCTGTCAGATTTGTTTTGTCATGTATGATAATATTGATGTCATGGAATCGTAGAATGGTTTCTGTAGGAATTTATCTCTAAGCCCACCTAGTCCCAACTCCTGCTGTTGATACACACTAGCTCAGGCTGCCCAAGGCCCCATCCAACTTAGCTTTGAGTGCCTCCAGTGACACAGCTTCTACTGGCAACCTGTTTCAGTGTCTCACTACTTTCTGGGTAAAGATTTTCCTCCTCTCCCCTCTTTCACTTTAAAATTGCTTCCTTTTGTCATATCACTATCAAATCATGTAAAAGATCAATCTCCTTCCTGATTATAAGCTCCCCTCAAATACTGGAATGCCACAGTG